AAAACAATAAAAAAAAGCGCAATCAGGCCTCAATGTTTGTTACTAAATCTGGATGATGACAAGCCCCGGCCTCTGAGACGTTCCAGATGCGAGCTCCAGGGAACCCTGAGGTGTTTGGATTTTCGAAACTCAGCCTGAGACATGGCACGTTTATGGCCTGTGGCCTAAGGGAGCTGCATCGCATCTCCGGCGCTGGTGCGAGGCGGGTGGCATTTCACATGTATGGGCAATATTTTTAAAGTTTGCTCCTTGGAGATTTAAGTGAATTTCAAGCTCAGTAACAGAAGGATTGTACCTTGAACAGCAGCTGAGAGCAGGGACCTCACTGGGGAGAAGTATATTACTCAGACTCCAAACTCCGGGCTCCCACTGATCCCAAAGCACCATAGAGGACTCCCACGGCTCTCTCAACAGCCTGAGAGCATCACAAACGTGATCGTGTGGGAAACGTCCTTAGATGCCATCTTTCATATCATCCCCTTCTTCATAGAGTCTTGGTAGGTGTTCTCTCACCACGCTGGCCCTTAACATGTGCTCCGGTCATTCCTCACCTGTGGTTGCTGCAGCAACGGGTGTCCAGGGCGTGGGGGGTGCACCATGGGCACCTGGCATTGCCCGCTGGGTGTCCCACACAGGACGTCATCTCAGTCCCAGGAGGAAACAGACCTGCGCTGTCCAATAGCGTAGCCACTAGACTAGCCACATGTGGCCACTTAAATTTCAATTCATTAAAATTCAATAAAATAGAAAATTTACTTCCTCAGTCACACTAACCATATTTCAACAGCCCGGTAGTGACTCGAGGCTGGTGGCTACCACACTGGATGGTGCTGGTGTCTGGGCTGGAGGCCGAGGGGCCTGTCCATGGCCACAGTCAATGCAGCATCGGCACAAGGAGGCCACATGTGGCCACTTAAACTTCAATTCATTAAAATTCAATAAAATAGAAAATTTACTTCCTCAGTCACACTAACCATATTTCAACAGCCCGGTAGTGACTCGAGGCTGGTGGCTACCACACTGGATGGTGCTGGTGTCTGGGCTGGAGGCCGAGGGGCCTGTCCATGGCCACAGTCAATGCAGCATCGGCACAAGGAGGGGGACGGGGAGAAGGGCGAACAGACTCTTGGGGCGGCTTTATTTCCCGTTGTTTCTGAGTCAGTTTCAGGGTGGTTTCTTTCTGCTCATTTGAGGACGTCCTGTACCAGCTGGGCAGGGCCCCAGGGGCACATCGTTGAGCAGGGTGACCCAGGCCTGCACCCATGAGTTCACGCTTCAGTGCGGAAAAGCGTATATACCATGTCAACAGTGGACTGTATCATGTCGGGGATGATGCGGGGAACCCTTCTAAAATAGGACAACAGGGTAAGGGAAATCAGGTGGCAGAGGAGGCAGCAGTCACGAGCTTAGATAGGGTGGTCTGGGGAGGGCACTCTAGGCAGGTGACGTCTGAGTAAGGACTTGGGGACAGTGATGGAGTTCGGTGCGTGGGCATCAGGGCCAGTGGGAAGGGCCAGCACATAGCCCTGAGGACCCACGTGTGCCTGGCTGTTCAAAGGACAGTAGGTGCTAGGGCTTGGCTGGAGTGGAAGGAATCAGGAGACATTAGAAGATGCAGTCCCAGTGCGGGGCGGGGTGGTGGGTGGGGGGCTTGGCAAGGACTCTGCTTGTGACTTTGTGTGAAATGGGAAGCCGTGGGGTGGGGGGGGGTGTGTTCAGGAAAGGTGTGGCTTGCGTTTCAGTGGGCCTCACTGGCCGCTGAGTGGAGCTTGGGTCGCATGGGACGGGAGCACACACTTCAGAGTAATCCAGGAAAAAGGCCACGGTGACGTGGACAGGAGCAGCTGTGTGTGTGTGTGTGTGTGTGTGTGTGTGTGTGTGTGTGTGTG